CGGGGGGGGGAGCCGGAGGGGTGGGGGGGGAGTTTGTGTGTGCAGGCGCTGAGTTTGGGAGCGGGGGGTGGGGCGTGTGTGTGCACACGTCGGAGGTGTCTGTGTCCATGCGTGTGTCCATGCGTGTGCACGGTGTGTCCCCGTGCAGATGGCGTGTGCTGTGCCTCCGTGCGTGCTGGGTGCGTGTCGGGGGGCAGGCCAGGGTGCGGTGGGTGCGTGTCCCTTCGTGGGGCTGCTTTTCCGCAGCCTCTAGCCCCGCTGGCTCTTCAGGGGCAGCCCCAGCAGAAACAGCCGAGTAGGTGGAAGGGGAAGAAGGTAATAAATGCACAAACCCCACAGGGTCACACGTGGCTCTGCAGTTCAGCAGCCTGCTGCTGCTCCTTCGGTATTTATGGTTTGCTCTTCCTTAGATTAGGTGAACGTTGGGGGCAATTCCTATTGTGATTACTAAAATAGAATCTGAAACTGCAGTCTTCTTTGGTACAAGGTGATAATAATAATCAGAGTTAGAAAAATGAAGTAGGCCTTATTACATTAGCAAGCACTTAGGAAAACCTTATGGCAGCTTCTTTGCCACCTCCAGCCAGGCAGTGGCTGCTCGTTAGCTGGTGGAATTGGCCAGAGAAACTCTGAAAATGTTTGTCCATTCCTGGAGGTACCTCTGTGGCAGAGCTGGTGCTCCTGCCCCGTGACACTGCTGGTGGCTTCCAACCAGAATCCCAGGCAACCTTCTCCCAGCTCCAGTTATCCCTGTTAGTAGCTCTTCTCTCAATTTGGAGAGTGTTGGCAACAAGTGGAGGGGAGATGATCTGCCCGCCCCCCCCCCGCAAGGGACTTCTCTCTTCTGCCGACCTTGCAGTTCCTGTTATCATCCCAGCACTGGAGCCCAGGCTGGCACATCCCCTCTGCACAAATCATTGCTGTGTTTGCCTTCTGCTCCCTCCTTTGTTGCATAATTCATAACGAGGGATTAATGGAGCCGCCCCCCCACCCCTTCCTATTTGCACACGATCACGGGCTGCGTTTGTTTCAGAGCCATTAGTTATTCATAATGGTTTGCTGAGTAACGTCTGTGCTGCTCCTGGTGATTCAGCTCCTGCTGGACCTGGCACTCTGGGCACTGCCTGCCTGGTGCCACCATGCCAGGCTGCCAGCCTAATGGGCAGGTGCTGCAAATATGAGATGAGGTGTCTGAAATGGGAGATTTTGGTTAAACAGGCAATTGGGACGGAACATTTCCGCTCCTCCCTTGCTTTCCTTGGAGCAGGGGACATGAAGGGGGCTTGGCTGAACTGTAGAGATGCCTAGAAAGTGTCACTGTGTCATCCCAGCTTTAACTCTGCTGTCCCCATGGACTGAGTACCCCTGTGGTAGGACCAGCATCAGTGAGGCTGGCTCCTGGGTCTGTGCTAGCATAGGCCCAAATCTGTGTGTGGTCTGAGATCCCCAAAACATGACCAGGCAGGAGAGTGAGTGAGGCAGAGGCAGGCCTGGTGTCTCTGTTCTGTGTTCACAGGTGCTGATCCCTCCCTGCTTCCTTGTAGGAGAAGCTGTGGTGGGGCCTGGGAGGTCTGTGGCAGAGCCCTGGGCATGGCCGTGCCTGGGCTCTCCAGACCAGCTCAGCTTTGCTGGCTGCTGGAGAGGGCCAGGGAGCAAAGGGCTCTTCAGGATCTGCTGCTGCCTGTTATCCTGGGGAGCTGGGTGCTTCTGGGAAGGGAACAGCCTCTGGGAAGCTCTGGGATATGCAGCAGCCCTCTCCTGCCTGTGCAGAGCCACTGTGTCCACCTACATCCATCCTTGTCTTCCTTACTGGCATCTGTGCCATCCCTGAGGATGCCATGGCAACCCGGGCTGCTGGAGGAGAAGCTGCAGCTCGGGTGCAAGGGCTTGGAGCCCTGGGTGCAATCCTTGGCACTGCAGCACTGGCCTGGGCAGGTCTGGGGGCTGTGAGATGGGGTCCAGACACACCACCAGCCGGGAGGTGCTGCTGCTGTGTGGGGGCCACGGTGCTTTCTCCTGGGAGGTGGCACAGCCGGGACACCGAGGTGAACAGCAGAGATGCTGAGTGCCTGGTTGGGCCGCGGCAGAGACCTCTGCCCTCAGGCGGGGTGTTGGCAGCTCCCGTCTGTCTGTCTGCTGCTTTCTGAAGCTGCCGTCAGGGTCTGCCCCAGCCCAGGGGAGGAGGGAGCTGCTTCCAGATGCTTGCTGGGACAGCACTGGTTCTGTCTGGTTTGCGTGGCGTGCAGCTGTGACCCCGGGCATGGGCTGTAGTGATGCTTCGGGAGGTGGGGGCTGAGGGGCTCAGGGACAGGGTGGTGAGGGGCGATCCCGGCTCCGGCTGCTCAGACGCCCCGGCAGGGGCAGCAGCGGCTGAGCCCGGGGCTTGGAGG